TAATAGAATATTAATAGTTGTTTCTAGGGTGTGCAGAACAGTGGTGCCAACTTGATGACTTTGGTCACCATTGTATGTATCGACCAATCACTGATCACCATTGTTCTCAACAAATCACTGATCTCCATTGTTCTCCTCAACCAAACACTGATCACCATTGTTCTCTTTGACCAATCACTCATCACCATTGTTCTCAAAGGCCAATCACTGATCACCATTGTTCTCTTCAGCTAATCACTGATCACCATTGTTCTCCTCGACCAATCACTGATCACCATTGTTCTCTTCAGCTAATCACTGATCACCATTGTTCTCCTTGACCAATCACAGATCATAATTTTTCTCAAAGGCCAATCACGGATCACCATTTTTCTCAAAGGCCAATCAATGATCACCATTGTTCTCCTCGACCAATCACTGATCACCATTGTTCTCCTCGACCAATCACTGATCACCATTGTTCTCTTCAGCTAATCACTGATCACCATTGTTCTCCTTGACCAATCACAGATCATAATTTTTCTCAAAGGCCAATCAATGATCACCATTGTTCCTGACAACCAATCACTGATCACCATTGTTCTCCTCGACCAATCACTGATCACCATTTTTCTCAAAGACCAATTGCTTATCACTATTGTTCTTGACAACTAATCACTGACGTGAGAAAAGTTAGTTATTCCTATGTGTATGTTACTCGACTACTCACTACCACTGCTTCATTTTGTCTGTGTTCTTTATAGAAATTAATTTCGTTTGTGGTGCCATGACCAAAAGATTTCTTCCTGTAAGAAATGTTATAATTTAGAAAAGACAATTCTATTCTATTCTAAGTGTCAGGAAAATCTTCCTTCTTCATGTAACATGCTTGCTAGTATGCAAATGATCATACAGTTAGTCAGTCACACCATATGACCGTGTCTGGTGACTGTTTTGAGTATGCATTAGCTACTTTCTCCTGAAAACTGTTGGAACGCTGGTGCAGAAGTCCATGAACTTGTCCATGAAAACAGCCCTAGTACATTTGCTAATTTCACAAAAAGCATGAACACTGGAAGCAGATCAGTAAAAAAAAAAAAAAATCACCAGTGAAGGACTTAGAGGGTTATGTTATATTTGACATTTAATATTTAATGTTTCTTTGGACCAGCAGCCAGTCGGTAAGGCACGATGTAACTTTTACATTAGCCGATGTGATGACGTCACTTTTACGCAATTATCTAATGGATTATATATTGAGTTATTCAAGCCTATTATATACTGTTTCTGCAATTAAATCCCATGACCTGGATGTCCACCAACTCAGATTCAAGCATCTTACCTGGCTATAGATTTGCGATATTCACAGCACCCGTACCACTGACAACTCCAAAACTGTGTTGTTTCTTCTGAAGTGAACGTAACGACTAACGAGGAGGTTCTTGGTCATGCGACCCCATTTAAAGAGGGAGCCGACGACATCTGTACCACTCAGTCAGAATTCCCGGGACTAGTAGGAGACAGGCAGCGGGAGGCTTGAACCACTGAGCAGCAAATCCGTGCTCGAGCTGGGAAAAATGCATACACACATGCCTCTTGGCTCCGGTTCTACAAATGAGGGGAAGTTACTTAATTACACAAGTGGGCTTTTCTTTTGGATGGGCTGTGTCTGCATTTCTGTTCCATGTTTGTTAATTCCATATTTGATCTGAAAATAAAGTCTCTCTCTCTCACACACACACACACACATATTTTCCAAATATTCAGGACCAAAGGTATTATTTTTATTGAGAAATCACAGAAGCCAGTTGAACACAAACAGTATTTAACATTTTATATTTATCTTCTTAGTGTTTTAGTTGAAGGTAATTTATGCACTACTCTGAAAACCAGAACATCTAATTATGACTCCTATTAACAGTGAGCTTTAAAGGAAGCAAAAATACTTTTTTTTTTTTTACTAATACTTAATAATCCTTTTTTTCCCCCATGGTATATTGCGAACTGGAAGGCATTTGGGTTCTTTTCTGAATCCTTACCCAGGCTATGTTAATTAGTAGAGCTGATTTGGCTTCCATCAATGGAGATTCCCAGCATTCCATCCAAGAACGTTTGGAATTTTAAGGACTTGATAGAGGAGCACCACGGTGATTTGAGCACGAATAAGCCTCTGAGTTATGGCTGAAATAAACAAACAAGCAATAAAAGGTTAGTTACTAAGAATAAAATCATTCTTTGTTTGAATTGATCCATTTTTGCTGGTTTTAGTTCAAGTTAAAATGTGGCCTTCACTTCAGTCAAAGTAAAAAAAAACACCTTAATGGTATTTTAAATTGTTAAAAAAAGAGCTTCTATGGTCAAGTTAGACTGTTTATCTGGCAAATATACAAGTTAATTTTGTACATAAAACCTGTCAGTAACACCATATTGCAGTTCATGTATAGATATACAAATATTTTGGTGAAATTTAGGAAGAATTATGAAATACTCTCAATAAGAAATGAAACACTTGAGGGTGTGACATGGTGGTGTGATAAAGTAGAGTTACTATTGATTATCTTCCTATTATATAGAACAACACATCATACTTTTTTTTTTTTTTTCATTTTGTAGTCAGTATAATATCAAGCAGTAACACCCTCCTGTCTCATGTCCTTATTTCCAGATTAGTGGGAATGGAGGCCAGCGGCGCCAGAGCCGGTGTCGCTGTCGTGACGTGCCAGGTACGCTTAGGGGATTAAGAGCGACTGAAACAAAGGCAACATGGGAAAAGGCACACCTACACTGTGTGTGTGTGTGTGTGTGTGTGTTGGTAAAAATATGGTTTGCATACCATTAATTTAAGGTGTGTACTCATGTACTCGTCCAGCCCAAGGCTTCTTGATTAAACAAATCTCTTATCTCTTATATCACTACTGTCTGATATGTTAGCGCTGTTTAAACCTTCAGGCAAATGACACACTGGACTGTAAGACATCAACTTAATGAACCAGATTCATGTAGTGTTTGGCTAGCCTTTAGCAATGAACATGCAATAAGTATTTAATTGGTTACATCATCTGGTAGAGGCCCCTTATCCAGAGCAATTCACATTTATACAACTGAGTGTTAAGGGCCTTGCTCAAGGTTCCAGTAGCAGTAGTTTGGTGGTGCTGGGATTTGAACTCAGTGCCAGTTATAAGGTAAATCACAGGTATTTTCCTGCCCCAGCGTCCACCACTTTAGTCAGGATCTCTCTTTAGTCAGATTCACAAGTGTCTGATGCTTCATCCATGCTAGCGACTGGAGAATCTGGGCAAGAGGACTGGAATCCTTGTCCACGAGATTCAATTCAATTCAATTCAATTTTATTTGTATAGCGCTTTTAACAATGAACATTGTCACAAAGCAGCTTTACGGAAATAAATGGATTCACAAAAAATATACTGTAAATATGTGAATTTATCCCTAATGAGCGAGCCAGAGGCGACGGTGGCAAGGAAAAACTCCCTGAGACAATATGAGGAAGAAATCTTGAGAGGAACCAGGCTCAAAAGGGAACCCATCCTCATCTGGGATGTGCAATTATAAATAAATCCCTTCTATTATTGTGTACTATATGGACAAATAGTGCAATTGTGCAACCAGTAAATTCATCACCGTTTTCGCAAGAAGTCCGGCTGGTTAAAATCTATCCACTGTCCACTGATGGAGTCCTGAGTACGAAGGTGCTTGTGGCAACCGCAGCCCCAAAGCCACTACAGCAATCGCAGTCCCAAGCCATTACAGTACAGCTCCCCATATGTGATCCCCAAGCCATCTCCACAGCCCACAGGTGGCACCATCCCCAGCAATCCAAACAGTTCTTCAGGCAGTCCATATGGGGCCACCCCCAGCAGCAGCGAGCGAACTCAACCGATGAGAACTCCAACCAGAAGTAGGGCATCAGATGCCTTTCTTTGAGCTGTATATACCTGGGTTTTGGCACCAGTGTAGCAAAATGCATCTCAAGAACTCGGCAGACTCAGAGTGAGATGACAGGCGAGTGTTCATTATTATCTGTGCCCCGTATGGTATCAAAAAGGCCAAACAAAAGGAAACGTAATGGAAAATCGGCAGCTTTCCAGCGTCTTGGTTCAGTTCAGTTCAGCTCACTCGACACACATGCTTTGGCCCCACTCACTGAGAGAGTGAGTGTGTGTGTGAGAGAGAGAGAAAAGCATTTTAAATACCCATTCACAAATAAGAATCAGTTGCGCCATGTTAATTGGCTCATTCCCCCACATTCCTGCTGCAGAATCCCGCTAAACAACATCCCCACCTGCCACACAGATTCAGTGTCACTCTGTGTGATGTTCAAAGTTTGAGGTTGTTTTTTTTTTTTTTAACTATGACTGGTACTTTTCCAGAATTTTGTCCTGAACTTTCCAGACTTGTTTTGATAGCTCCTTGTTTAGGTATGTTCTCTAACAAACTCTGGGATCTTCCAGGAACAGGTGTATTTATATTGAGATCATGTGACACTTTATTTGCGCAGAGGTCAACTCTATTCAACTAATTATGTGACTTCTGATGGCACCTGGTGGCACCAGAACTAATTCACGGGTTTCACAGAAATGCAGTGATTATTAATGCAAGACACTGTTTGTACCATCTATAAAACCACATCAGTCAGTTACTGTACATTGGGAGCCATACATGTCCAGTTAATACACTACCACCACCATGTTTCACAAAAGAGATGTGAATATATTTGTGGCTGAAGTCTAGAAGTTTCACATCTGTGTGAAAATGAACATGCAGGGGTAAACCTCTTCTCCAAACAAGCCCCAAATCCATTTTGATTATTTGGGGCAAGTGTGAAAACGTGCAAAAAAAAAAAAAAAACAGCTGACTTTGTGGTTATTGAAGAACAGGCAGAGTTACAGAACTGTTACAGAATCCTTTTCAGACTATTGTGCACTGTGAGGTGTTTCAGATCAGCAAGCCTGATATTGTGTTTGTAAGCCGGTGGAAAAAAGGAGAACTGGCTGTGCTACTGTGTCAGGATGGCCGAGCGGTCTAAGGCGCCAGACTCAAGGTTCAGACCTTCCCCTGGTTACAGGAGGATTCTGGTCTCCGAATGGAGGCGTGGGTTCGAATCCCACTTCTGACACGTAATATTTTTTTCTGATAAAAACCCCATTTGTCAATATATAAATAAATAAAGTTAAAACAAGGATTTTAAAATGGATTTGTGCATTTAAGTAGTAAATTGAAGATGATAACATCCAACACAGAGTTGTTGATGTGTTAGCAAACATTACTAAAAAAAAAAAACTGACTCAAAATATTAAAATTTAAGTTTGTTCGACTATTTATTTATTTATCTACAGCTGGGGTCATAAGTTTAAATCCGCCTTGCAGAATCAGAATCACCTTTATTGCCAAGTACCGTGGGTTTACATGTACAAGGAATTTGTCTTGGTGTACTGGTGCTTAGCAATAACGGTAAAATACAAGAAATTAAACTAATATTAATAAGGTAAACACTGTAAGGTAAGATAAGAAAGTAAAAGAGAGAAGAGAAAGTTATGAAGCATAAATATAAAGAAACTGCAAAATGTTAATAATTTAAAAAAAATGAGGTATCATAAAAATTGCATTGTTTTTTTTTATTTACTGTCCTGAATAAGCTATTTCACATAGCAGTGTTTACATCTAGTCCACAAGACACAATAATAACTGAATTCACACAAATGAACCAGTTCAAAAGTTTACATACGCTTGATTCTTAATACTGTGTGTGTTACCTGGATGATCAGCGACTGTTTTTATGTTTTGTGATAGTTGTTCATGAGTCCTTTGTTTGTCCTGAGCGGTTAAACTGCACACTGTTCTTCAGAAAAATCCTCCAGGTCCTGAACATTCTCTGCTTTTCCACCATCTTCTGCATATTTGACGATGATGTTGCGATCCATCCTTTCACGCTGAGGACAATTGATGGACTCTGAATGGCGGCGTGGGTTTGAATCCCACTTCTGATGAAAACCCCATGTATGAATATTAAATAAATAAATAAAGTTAAAAACAAGGATGAACACATTTATAAGGAGTTGTGGTCATAGAACAGTCGCGTTCAGCGGCATGAAACGTCAGAGCCAGAACGTTTCACAAACTAATTTTATTTCGTTCTGAAATGTATTTTAAATTGTGAATCAGCACCTAATGCAGGATTAACATACAAATCCATCAGATTTTTTGCAAAACCATAAAATGCTGTGGAGGGAATCTTAGAGTTCGATTTGAATTCTCGTCCACTGCATATGTTTCACATATTACACACACAGCCAGCTAAACATTTCACCCAGGATTAACAGCATAGCGCAAACAAGTACAAATACAGTAAAGACACGAGTCTTCAAAGTCTCACTTTATTTATCTAATTCATAGAGATCGACATGTAAACATATTTTTTAATGATTGTGGTTTATGTGTTTGTGGAAGCCCTGAACTGAAAGTTGCGGCAAAAAATGTACTACGTTGTTTTTTGAACATAATATTACATTATTTTGATTTAATAACTCATTATTTCACATTTCATAGGTCATTATTTTAACTTAAAATTACATTATTTTCATTTAATAACTTGGAATTTCAAGATATATCAATATTTTAGATATTATCTTATTCTTTCGAGTTTTCATATTATTTTGATGTACTTGACAAGAAGAATCAAAATAACGATATAACGCTTTAAAACAATTTCCACAATGAACCAGTAAAAAGAGACTTTCACAAAGAATAAGAATCTTTTCATCAGCAATATTTCATTAATTGGAATAAAACAGTATCGGATCTAACTGATCTGATTCACTCTTACAGAGCACTGAAGTGGGAGGATCTTTAGAGGAGATTTTGTACAACCAACAGCTAGATATGGCAGTAATTTGTCAGTAAATCTGTGTTTGAAAGTGTGTATGTGTGTGTTAGTATGAGGGTCGGAGAATGACAGATTTCCTCTGTCCCAGTCCAGCTGCATTCTGATCCTTTGGAGTTTCTGGGTTACTGAGAGGAGTGTGGATTGCTGTGGTGTAGTACATGCTCTATATTTACCATCATTATTCCACACACACCAGTTTCCACTTCTGGAGGATACATTTCCCTTCCTCTGAGCAGATTCTGTCATCACACCCAGTGACCACTTCGTACAGTCTCCAACTTCAATATCCCAGCAGTGTGTCCCTGAGTTAAAGACCTCAGAGCCCAAGATAAAAGGACACACATCAAATCTCTCTGGATTATCAGGAAGATTCTGTTTCTCACTGAATCTCACACTGGTCAGATCATCAGACACAATGAGTTTAGGATGAGCAGTGTTGGGGTCCAGAGTTACAGGTACTGAGAAGAAAACAGAAGAAATCAATTACGGTACACACACACAGAAAGAAAGTAAGTAAGTAAGTTTCTTACTGTATTGGACAGCATCCTGCATCTTCTCCCAGACTCTGAACTTCAGGTTGGCCAGATGTTTTGCCACATGGATCATTGCTCCTGAAAGCTCCTCTGGATGCTGCAGTGTGCTCTGAGCTCTGCGAAAACATTCAGGAGTCAGTGCTGCTGTGGGTTTGGAGTCAGAAAC